AACACAAGGCTAATACATAAAACGAACAATCGACTCATTCTGATAACTGTGTTTTGTTTTAGAGTTGACCCCCCGTCACTTATGTGACATCATATGAAACCCAAGAATAGGTACTTTGTGAGAAGTCAAAAAGATAGGGATAAGTACTTTATGAGAAGTCAAAAAGTTATAAAGTCAATAGTGCATCACAAAATTTTAAATTGTTAAATGCAAGAAATTCACAATTTTGATGAAAATTCCTCTCAGGAAACACGGAAAATGTTCTTCGGAGGCTTCGGAAGCGCTGACGTTTTTGGGGCAGCATGCCCTCAGACCCGCCAATGTTTTCTGGGGGAGCATGCCCTCTGGATTCAGACTCGTACTCAGTCTCCCACCAAGATATATACATGTTATAATTTATCTTCGTCTAGAACACGATTAATTAATTAATATAATTTTTCTGCTAACCAAAAATTGTTAATCTATTGCATTATTGAGAAGGCGGGAAAGATATGAAAACGTTCGGAGGCTGGAAAAATATAAAAAATGCAACTTTTGCGCAACTCTTTACATCGGATCGAACTGCCTCGGATCGGATTCCGACAGAAATGTCCAAGAATTCATACTCAATTGATTACGTATTTTGAGATGAACGAATTATCTCCCAATATAAAGTATATGTTTTAAGGAGCAGTTTACACCAAACCATATTTGGATTTGAGGCTCTCGGCAAAAGTTAAAAATAATTTAATTTTTTATTTCATTGTGCTAATCTTCACCCCCTTTTTTATCGGAAAGCTTCAATCTGCTACCCTTCGCTGGAACACTTCTGCGCGTTACTTCCGAGAACCACGACCAAAATCAGCAACAAAGTTCCCTTCATTTGGCAATTCTGCCGGGGTCGCCAAATGTTACCTCGTGCCATACAGGTTACTTTTTGCCAGTTACGAATACAAATACATACACAATGTGTGCTCCAAAACTTTATTTATTATAGTTATACAAACTTTGATTGGTTATACAGATTATATATCACACTTAATATTTCTATCTTGATCTGACTTCGTCGATGACGTTACCTCTTCAAGAGCGTAAACTGAACTCTCTAACATGTGTTCTCTAGCACAGTCTATATCATGCACTATTTATAGTAAAGGTCCTTCCTGTCCAACCTTCACTATACACCAATAGATTTGGTTCATGAACTAAACTAAACTTAAGTTTAATTAAGAAAAATTTGAATCAAATTAAAATTAAACTTTTTAATTTAAATTTTTTAAAATTTTGATTAAAATCAATATATTGACACATATAATCAATACATTGACACATTCTGACACTTGCTTGCTTGCCTTTTTACTTTACTAATATTTAATACACGTATATATACAGCCGACTTACTTCCACTATACTCTATAGTCTATTCAGCGGAATTTCGTTAACTGACGGTTTATTCTTTGCTGGGAAATATTTTTTCTTGAGCAACTGATAATTTCTTCGTGTGAAGACAAACGCAATGCCAATGTAGGCACCAGTAAGCAACGTTACAGTATACAGCGCTATCTTTATGTCGATATCAAAATCCACGATTCTAGATATGAAGAGAGGAAACCAATAACTTAAGGCTGTAGTGGTCGACAGCTTGAGCAATATGACAAATTTATGACGCTTAACAATATTCGATTTCTGTGCAATGTTCCTGCTTGCCTTGAGTTTTTGGCGAATTCGATAAGCAGTGAGGATGAACATTCCAATAATGTACAACAAAAGACAACCTTGAAGGCCATATACATCAACATCAGCTGACCAATCGGGAGTAATTCGACCATTGATACAATCTCCAGAAATCTGTTTATAAATCCTTGCATCATCTTCCTTCCCATCTCCATTCGCGAATACAATCCGTTCATAAAACTTTAAACTTGACTGAACATCTTTCTTCAAAGATATAATAGGTTGATAAATCCTTGCATCATCTTCCGTCGCATCTTCCTTCCCAAGTACAGTGCTTTGATTAAACATCGACTGGGCATCTTCAAGTGCAGTGTCAGTGCTTTGATTTAACCTCCACTTTGACCGAAGGACATCTTCCTTCAAGGACGCAATATGATGATAAATCCCTATATTATTTGCTATTGCATCTCCATTCACAGATACAATGCGTTGATAAAACTTTAAGCCAGACTGAACATCGTTCTTCACCGACGCAATAGGTTCATAAAACCTTAGAACATCTTCCTTTACTAGTACAGTGTAAACAATTGTTATAATGATGGGAACTCCCCAACTAAAGAAACTATACTTCAAAAACCTGTTCCACTTCTTCAGTTCATCAGATTTCACTAGCGTATTCCCACAAAATGTTCGCCTTAAGTGATAGATATTAACTGCAGCATTCATAATTATGCTATACGTCATAAACTTATTTGCTACAAACAGCCTAGCACACGGTATCTCAAACAGTTTACCTACATGAGAATACAATGACAAAAATACTACAAGGTAAGTCAGCCACAACAGCAAGGCAAAACTAAAACTCATTAAATTCAAACCAGGAAGTGTGCGCAGTTCTGGAAGCATGCAGTAAACTATCAACAACAATAGCAAAGAAATAATAGAAAGCGCTAAAGCACATAATGGTGCTATAATAATCTTAAAGTTTGTAATTACGAAAATTGGTCTTAAGTTTTCTTTGCCGCATACATAAGGTTTACCGTCTATCACCGCATAGTCACTTCTTTTGAAATATTGACCGTGATCTGCGGAATAGACAGCAAACTGCTCTGTCACAGTGTAGTATCTTGCATTTAATTTATAAGAACGATAACAGGATGCGGGTAATGACTTTTGCCACGAATTTCGCGTTCTCCAAATCGCCTGAGCTCTTGAATCATTGGAAGCACACATTTCAAGACTGTCGTGGCTTAATCGATATTCGCGATAATCGTATATCTTGTTGTGGTAAAGCAGCGAAAGGTTTTTAAAAACATTGTATTGATTACCGTACTTTACTGTGACCAAATCATCATTGCAGGACAATCTGAGCTTTCTTGAACAAATTGCAAAATACCCCCATATCACTCCGTAATCTTGTCTTGTGAAATTTTGATTGGTAGGTTTGAAGAAAACAGTAAAGTTTGTATCTAATGTGTAATTTTCGGAGTAAAAACCGTCCACAGATACATCACATTGTTTGAAAGCAAACGTTATCTTTTCTGAAACAATGAAATTCCTCCATTTTTCTTTAATGAGATGGTCAGAAGAATTACAAACTTGTAGACCATCATCCGTTATTCTGTACTCATCATAAGAGTACATTCGATCTTGGTACATCATTGAGAAATTGTTCCATACTCTGTATTCATCTTCATACTTTATAGTGAAGGTAAAATTGGCGCATTCGGTCATACATGTTATAAGTTTACCTTCAAATACAGCATAATCGTACTTTGTTATCAGCTTCTTTGTTGCCGAAATCAGAATTCCAAAATTCTTAAGCACAGTATATTCCCATCGGTCGAACTCAATGTATATAATGGGTTTATTGCAACTTTTTTCATATATTGTCGCCTTTACCCAGTAATTACGTAGTTTCCAAATATTCCGTACGTAGTTATCAGTGGAGTTGCAAATTATTACGCTATCATTCAGAACTCGATACTCAGTATAATCGTACACCTTGTTCTTATAGAGTATTGAAAAGTCAGTCCGAACTTTGTATTCATCATCGTATGTTATACTGATGATTGAATTGTTGCACATTAACAGATCTTCCTTGGTATACTCTGTTGATGTGGATCTGAATTTTCCATCGCACGTATAACATTTGCGGTAACGGTTTATCACCCCATAGTCATTCCTTGTGACATACTGACCACGACTTCCCAAATAGAGAGTGAACTGCTCATTCACAACGTAATTCTCTCCGGAAAACAAAACGATTTTCGATTTATTGCAACTTTTTTGATACTTTGTCAACTTTACCCATTTATTGCGTACTTTCCAAATATTCCTTACGTCGTTTTCAGTGGAGTTACAAATCTTTATGCTATCATTCAGAACTCGATACTCAGTATAATCGTACACCTTATTCTTGTAAAGTATTGAAAAGTCATTCCGAACTTTGTATTCATCATCGTATTTTAAATTGATAATTGAATCGTTGCACATTAATAGATCTTCCTGGGTATACTCTGATGATGTGGGTCTATCGTTTACTTCGCATATTATAAGTTTACCGTCTGTCGCCCAATAGTCATTTCTTGTGAAGTATTGACCATCACCTGCGAAATAGACAATGAACTGTTTATTCACAGTGTAATAACTTTGGGCGACCAACCAGGAGGTTCCAAATCGTTTATTGCAACTTTTCTGATATATTGTCGCCTTTACCCATTTATTGCGCACTTTCCAAATGTTCCTTACGTAGTTATCAGTGGAGTTACAAATCGTTATGCTATCATTCAGAACTCGATACTCATACTCGGTATAATCGTACACCTTGTTCTTATAGAGTATTGAAAAGTCAGTCAGAACTTTGTATTCATCATCGTATTTTATATCGATGATTGAATCGTTGCACATTAATAGATCTTCCTGGGTATATTCTGTCGATGCGGCTCTTAACTTTTCTTCGCATATATAAGGTTTACCGTCTTTCAGCTCATACTCATTTCTTGTGACATATTGACCACGACCTCCCAAATAGACAGTGAACTGCTCATTCACAGTGTAATTCTCTCGAGAAATCAAAACGAATTTGGATTTGTTGCAGCTTTTATGATGCATTTGTTCCTTTACCCATTTATTGCGTAGTTTCCAAATATTCCGTACGTAGTTATCAGTGGAGTTACACATCTTTATGCTGTCATTCAGAGCTCGATACTCAGTATAATTGTACACCTTGTTCTTATAGAGTATTGAAAAGTCAGTTCGAACATTGTATTCATCATCGTATTTTATATTGATGATTGAATCGTTGCACATTAATAGATCTTCTTTGGTATACTCGGTTGATATGGGTTTGAACTTTTCTCTGCATATATAAGGTTTACCGTCTTTCAACCCATAGTCGTTTCTTGTGAAATATTGACTCCAAAGTGCGAGATAGACAGTGAACTGCTCATTCACAGTGTAATTCTCTCGAGAAATCAAAACGAATTTGGATTTGTTGCACTTTTTATGATGCATTGCAAACTTTATCCACTTAGTGCGTACTTTCCAAATCTTCCTTACGTAGTAGTTATCAGTGGAGTTACAAATCTTTATGCTATCATTCAGAACTCGATACTCAGTATAATTGTACACTTTGTTCTTGTAAAGTATCGAAAAGTCCGTCTGAACTTTGTATTCATCATCGTATTTTATATTGATGATTGAATTGTTGCACATTAATAGATCTTCCTGGGTATACTCTGTTGATGTGGGTTTGTTGTTTTCGTTGCATATTGTTAGTTTACCATCTTCCACCCAATAATCATTTCTTGTAAAATAATGACCATCGGCACCCGAATAGACAGTGAACTGTTTATTCATAGTGTAATACGCTCGGTTGAACGAGAAGGTTATGACGGGTTTATTGCAACTTTTTCCATGCATTGTCAACTTTACCCACTTATTGCGTACTTTCCAAATATTCCTTTCGTAGTTATCAGTGGAGTTACAAATCTTTATGCTATCATTCAGAACTCTATACTCAGTATAATCATACATCTTGTTTTTATGGTTTATTGAAAAGTCAGTCCAAACTTTGTATTCATCATCGTATTTTATATTGATGATTGAATTGTTGCACATTAATAGATCTTCCTTGGTATACTCTGTTGATTCGAGTCTTAACTTCTCTTTGCATATATAAGGTTCACCGTCTTGAACCCCATAGTCATTTCTTGTGAAATATTGACTCCTAGGTGCGAGATAGATAGTGAACTGCTTATGCACAGTATACTTTCGGTTCAACCAAAAGGTTCTAATGGGTTTATTGCAACTTTTTTCATGCCTTGTCAACCTTACCCATTTATTGCGTACATTCCAAATATTCCTTACGTAGTTATCAGTGGAGTTACAAAATTTTATGCTATCATTCAGAACTCGATACTCAGTAAAATTGTACACCTTGTTCCCATAGAGTATTGAAAAGTCAGTCCGAACTTTGTATTCATCATCGTATTTTATACTGATGATTGAATCATTGCACATTAATAGATCTTCCTGGGTATACTCTGTTGATTCGGGTCTGAACCTTTCGTCGCATATATAAAGTTTACCGTCTTCCAACCCATAGTCATTTCTTGTGAAATATTGACCACGACTTGCAAAATAGACAGTGAACAGCTTATTCACAGTGTAATACTTTTGGTGCAACGAAGAAGCTCTAATTGGTTTATTGCAACTTTTTTCATGCATTCTCGCTTTTATCCATTTATTGCGTACTTTCCAAATATTCCGTACGTAGTTATCAGTGGAGTTACAAATCTTTATGCCATCATTCAGAACTCGATACTCAGCATCATGGTGCACCTTGTTCTTATAGAGTATTGAAAAATCTGTCCGAACTTTGTATTCATCATCGTATTTTATATTGATGATTGAATCGTTGCACATTAATAGATCTTCCTCAGTATATTCTCTTGATATGGGTCTGAACTTTTCATCACATATATAAGGTTTACCGTTTTCCACCCCATAGTCATTTCTTGTGAAATATTGACGTTCAGCTGCCGAATAGAGAGTGAATTGCTTATTCACAGTGTAATACTTTCGGTACAACCATGACTTTCTAATGGGGTTTTTGCAATTTTTTTGATGTACTGTCGCCTTTACCCATTTATTGCGTACTTTCCAAATATTTCTTACGTAGTTATCAGTGGAGTTGCAAATCTTTATGCTATCATTCAGAACTCGATACTCAGTATAATTGTACACCTTGTCCTTATAGAGTATTGAAAAGTCAGTTCGAACTTTGTATTCATCATCGTATGTTATATTGATGATCGAATCATTGCACATCAATAGATCGTCCTGGGTATACTTTGTTGATTTCGGTCTGAACTTTTCTTTGCATGTAAAGGGTTTACCGTCTTCCACTCCATAGTCATTCCTTGTGAAAAATTGACCACGACGTCCCAAATAGACAGTGAACTGCTTATTCACAGTGTAATACTTTCGGTGGAACCAAGACTCTCTAATGGGTGTTTTGCAACTTTTTTGATGTATTTTCCTCTTTACCCATTTATTGCGTATCTTCCAAATATTCCTTACGTAGTTATCAGTGGAGTTACAAATCTTTATGCTATCATTCAAAGCTCGATATTCTGTATAATCGTGCACGTTGTTCTTATAGAGTATTGAAAAATCAGTCCAAACTTTGTATTCATCATAGTATTGTATATTGATGATTGAATCGTTGCACATTAGTAGATCTTCCTCAGTATACTCTCTTGTTGTGAGTCTGAACTTTTCTTTGCATATATAAAGTTTACCGTCTTCCACCCCATAGTCATTTCTTGTGAAGAATTGACTCGTAACTAGGTAATAGACAGTGAACTGCTTATTCACAGTGTAATACTTTCGGTACAGCCCAGACTCTCTGATGGGTTTATTGCAACTTTTATAGTGCATTCTTGCCTTCACCCATTCATTCCGTACTTTCCAAATATTCCTTACGTAGTTATCAGTGGAGTTACAAATCTTTATGCTATCATTCAGAACTCGATACTCAGTATAATCGTACACCTTGTTCTTATAGAGTATTGAAAAGTCGGTTCGAACTTTGTATTCATCATCGTATGTTATATTGATGATTGTATTGTTGCACATCAATAGATCTTCCAGGGTATACTCAGATTTTGAATCAATTTCACGTCTGTTCCGGAGATGTTGAGTTGTTAGTGAAGCGAACTTTTCTCTTTTGGCTGCTTCTCTTAAGTCGTTTTGGTAAAAAATTTGATTTTCCAATGACGATATGCTTTTCATGCTCCAATTAGTTTGCCATTTTGTCTCACTTGTGTGGGAGATGGTTGTCGATTCGTTGCTTGGAACTTTTACCTCAGACGGCGAAGGAATTGAAGAAGACGGTTCTGGGCGCTTCTGTATTCTATCACTTCTGAGTATTTTCATCGCAGTTCCTAAAAATTAATTACGGTTAATATATTTGCCGTTTCCGAAGTGCGAACATTCTCACATTTTCAAAATTTACCTTTTCTAACCATCTTTGAAAGATGAGTTTTCTTCCGCGACTTGCGGCCATCAATTTGTTTCGCATTTTCTGTCAAGTTAGAGACTCGCTCGCCTTGTTTGAGAGAAATGTCAACATTCACGGGTTTACCTTTGAATTCATCTTTTAATTTGTTCGGTTCTGTTTTATCCTCTCGCCTGTCATACTCTGAACCACCACCAGGATAAAAACAGGCGAAAATCAGACAGAAGGAAAAGAAAACGACTCGATACAAGAGTCGAAAATTAAAGCCACTACCCATGTTGCAACTGCAGACGTCGTTAACCAACTGTTTATTTTGGCAAAATACAGAGTTTAAAACAGTTTCAAGTTTTGACAATCTTAATTTTTTTTGTAAAATTTAGTCCGTTGTTATGGCAACCAATGCGAAACAAAATTAGTACTGAGAATTATCTAATGCTTTGTATACTGTTGAAAAACAAGGACGGTAACCCCGAATTTTTTCATCCATGTTTTTTTCTTTGTGCGTGTAACGAGAATGTATAGATTGTAGTAAAGCCATCTTCTGTATAGGAAAGGAACAATTTCCTTTATCCTTTGAATTTTATTTGGCAATCATATCAAGCGAAAATATGCTTGGCATTGACATTGTGATTTGTGTACCTTTAATATTGGATTATTGCGGTTTTCGTATTACAAATATTTTAAATACATGTTTTCTTAAACAATTCGTTGGGTTTTTAATATCTATAGTTCAATGACGTATTTCACCTGCTTTACTCTTTAGACATTTGTAACGAATAATAGTTTTAAAATAGCAGGGAAACGTAATATTTCATAACTATCAAAAATCAAGATAAATAGTTCTTAAACCATTGACGAAATTGGTTTGACTCTTGACTAGCATTAAGTTATTTTCTCCACCAGGTTTGTTACACCTAATAATAATAATTTAATTTCCACACATTCTACTTTACAATATTTACAAATTTAAAAGGACAATATTATCAACTTAAGTTTGATATATGTGTGGATAAGCTTAATTCCTTTTCTCCAATTAGCTTTGGCAGGACCGAGTAGGCCTTTGGAGACTTAGAATGAGGGACTTCTGATTTGTCCCCAAGTCTCTGTGGATCCAAGCTCGGAAATCGGAACCCAACCGGGTGAAAAAGTTGCGATGCGGAAATTTCCAACAACCGTGAAATTGGTCCGTATAATTTTTCCCCGGTGGAAAAAATTGGTTTGTTCTGCCTTTGTCATTTGGCAAATGTCCCGGAAAACAGAGAGCTGTTTAAAAAGGAAAAACTTGAAGATTATTTTATTTGTGTCTGTTGGTTTACACAACGCTGTCCCGAAGTCGCTGATTTAACACCAAAACTTGATGGATTCGAGCGCTTAGAACCACCACGCTTAGAATCAATAGCAAAAGCATATCTTTCAAAATGTTTCGGTGAAAAAATAATGTAGAAAAGCCTTGTAATATACTTTGAGTCATTAGTTTGCAAATTAAGTGCAGAAGTGGGAAATATTTCTTTTTTTCTGGGAACCTGGGTTTAGGGCTCAAAATTTTCTGCACAAAATTACAATATATGGGAAAAATACTAAAAATGTGTCGTTTGTGGCTGACTTTTTTAACTTAATTGTTTATCATAATCTTCACTAAGATGTGTTGTCGTATGAAGTAATATGTCTTTAAGACCGGTAAGTCATGCAAGATGAATGCTGAAATAGTCGTAGTAGTTACTGAATTAAAAACACATTTCCTACTGCAGGCTATATAAATATTTTCGTTCCGAACTATTCCGCTTTAATTTTGGTATCGAGTGAATCAGTAGATTCAGTGGCGTGCTAGGTACTATTTTTCTGGGGGGGCCAGTCGACTGGTAACCAAGATGCGCCCCTATAATATTACGCTTGATAAACGAGGGCCGAAGGCACGAGTCGAGCGCCGCAGGTGCGCGGTAGGGAGGTCCGGGGGCAGTGCCCCCCAGTAAAATTTTTGAATTTAGAGTCTCTGAAATGCCATTTCCTGGATAGCCTGCGAACAGGCCCTGGGTTGCGGGCGGCGCGAAGAATACGTTCCTGGACTTTGGGGGGAAGATTTGACAGAAATCTGATGGTCAGGAAACGGCATTACAACGTGTCGAAATTTGCAAATTGGTTAGAATTTTGTAGTAGTACTTAAATTGGGCAATGCTAACTACTTCCAGCAATTAATCTAATTCCAATTCTATTTTCTACTGATCTAGTGATCTGAATATATTGTGAGGTAGCAAGAGGGACTTTTTTAACTCATCCAGGCTCAGGGAACGAGATTGGCCTATCAGTCGATCTGAAGCTGATTAAACGTGTAAATGTTTAAATAAACATTTTTGAATGTTCACTCACCGACACAAACGACGGTAATGTATCCAGAGCGCGCAAAAGAGTAATTCTCACTGGGGAACTGGTTTCTAGTGAAGAAAACGTCATTGAATGGTATTGCGCATGCTCAGTAAGGTTTTATTTTCTAATTTTATTATTCAAGTTTCTACTTCAAAACAACAACAAAGAATGGCGAAATATTAATGTTGTTTTAAAGCCATTTTCTCTTCGGAGAAGGCTTTTTGTAGATCATGAATTTGGCTTCTAGTTCGGGAGAGCTGGGCGGAAACCTGTTGTTCGTAAACTTCAATCAGGACGTCTCGTGAGTGATGTAATTTTTCACTTATGCTTCTGAAATTCGACCGATTTTCACTTTTGCTGAGGCAAAATATTTTCATTGTTTATACAGGTCAATTGCAGTGGGCAGCAAGACGGGCTATAAGCTATTTTCATTAAATTCTGTGGAGAAGCTTGAAGAAATATACAGTTACGGTGAGCGAATTAAGTGGTTTTATTTCATACAAATGTTCATATTTTTGTTTTTTAAATTTTTTTACCCTTTGTTCTTTGGCGTTTGGTCAATACAACTGATACAAGATGTCAGAATTTTTTATAATTTTGATTGCGTGAAAAATTGCGGTTTGTGTAAAAACATTGTGTCAGATTTTTAAAGCAGTCCTTTTCAAAACAAGTTTATGTTGATGTACATTTTAGCAGCCTCAATTATTACTTTTAACACCTTACTGTATAGCCATACTTAGTAGTTAGTTCATGATTAACCCTTTTGTTTAAAAAAATATCTTTAATTTGGGGGTTTGGCTGGATACAATATCAGACCTGCCAAGTCTCACGATTAAGTCCCCAAATCTCACAATTTTCGGCAAAATCTCTGCTAAAACCACAAGTGATTCCAAACACCTGTGGAAAAAAGAAATATGCTATTATTTTGTGAGACTTGACACTGGAAGCTACTGGAGCCATAAAGAAAAAACAGCCTATTTTTAATAAGCCTTGCATTACGGTTATATTAACAAAATATAAATGCATACTATCCTAAGATTGAATATCTATTGATTATTTTGTAGTGTTGTTAAAGTTAACCCTGGTCATATTAATGAGCAATCCTGAAAATTTCTACATCTCACGACTTTTTAGATAGCAACTCGCTATTTTTGCTACTCAAGGGTTGGCAGGTCTGCAATATAATTCTGAAAACTTGGTCATACATTAGTGACAGACACTAGGGGAGGCAACCCTTCTCCAATAATTTGTGAAAGCCTTTGATATGCATTAGTAGGATATAAATCAAATTAAATATTGCATGAATTTATAGGCAAAAATGGTTTAAAGAACTAAGATTTTTAGCTATAAAAAGTGCCCATATGTTGGCAACTTAGTTTGCCCCCTCCCCCCAATATTTCACATAATCCCCCCCCTCCCCTCCTGCTCTTTGCCCCCCCTCCATATTTTGCATAGTGTCATTTTTGTTGGACACATTCAGACGCTAATCATTTATAGAATTGAATTAAACGAGACTATTTGCACAATACAGTATATTGCATTGTAATTATTTCATTTGCATATGAAATTTAATATAAATTCAATATTATAATAGCATTTAATTTGGTCAATATACTGCAACAATATTGCAAAGTTGAAAGGAATCCAATTGACAATTTATCATAGTTTAATATATGATATATTCTACTAAGTAATAACTTTCTTTGCATGTGTAACAAATTATTAAGAGATTGCATTTTGGTTTTGCAGTCTCTGCTAAGCATTTCTGTGCAAAAAACTGTAGTTTTGTAAGTGGAACCATAATTAAAGGTCAGCTGATCTTATAAATGCTGTTATTTGCATGCTTATATAGAAAGTGAAGATATATGTATTGTGGAAAGATTGTTTTCCAGTAGTCTTGTGGCTGTTGTTAGTTTGTCTGCACCAAGAAAGCTGAAAGTTTGTCATTTTAAAGTGAGTCATTTCTTTATTGCACTTTTTACTGTATACAAGTTTATTTCTTATAAAATATAAGCATGTCATTTTTAATACTTGATCAGTCAATTTTAATTAATTAAGTAAACTTATTGAAGCCCACTGCTTTCCCCTGGTTGAGTAAAATCATCTGGCATTAGACAGAGTAAAATAATAAAGTAGGGCGCATTAGGGTGCAATGCAACTTTAGTTAATAGTTAACTACTAGACACATCGGTTTAACCCATTAAGCTGCAGATCTTCCCCATTGACGAGTAAAATTGTCTGGCGTTAGACAAGTAAAAAAAAGTAGGGCACACTGGGGCACATTGGGCCATTCCATTTATTGTACACCCCTATGGACGAGTTCAATAAAATTTGAACCCCTAAGAAAGAAAGATCGAAGTGCCGACACAAACACCCTCCCAGAAATTAAGACATTTTTGCCTTACCCCTCAGAAAAAAACGCAAAGATCAAAGGATGCTGATGCACGCAACCCCTCAGAAATGGCTTTTTCAAACCCCCTCAGAAATTCTCGTCCACAGGGGGGGGTATATTAAATGGAATGGCCCATTGGGGCTCAATGGGTTAACCCAATTATTGAACACCAGCATTCACCCTAAATGGCTAGTAAAATCATCTGGTGTTAGACAGAGTAAAATAATATTTAAGCAGATTGCATTGGGACGTTAATATTTCTTAAGCTTATCACTTAAAGCATTAATATTTCTTTGTTTTTTGTATATTTTTAGAAAGGAACAGAAATATGCAATTACAGTTATCCCAATACCATTTTATCTGTGAAACTTAATAGAATGGTAAGAAGTCTATATTCAGGCCAAGGGACCATGACAGTTCCCTGTAGAAGCCGGTGACCTGTGAAGTTTGCCGTCTACTTCCTAAATGTTTGCCATTTTTCTGTGCTCCCGCGCTCACATACTTTACAATACACACCCTAATACCTTCACCTTACCGTCTACTTTTTCTGTTGCTCTTGCTACTTTATATCCTAATGAGAACCCTGCCTGTTATTGTCTGATAGGTTGATCGACGTTCAGGTGTTGTATGCATGTAGTTTGTGTGTGCCTCTAACTGGTGAATGTTTTGATTCAGAGATTGCTGGTGACACTTGAAGAAAGTTTATATATTCACAACATACGAGATATGAAGGTAGTTCACAAATTCAATGCAAAGTAGGGATGAGCCGGTCACTGAAATTGCCGATTAGCCGATTCGATTAATCGGTGGCCGATAATACCAAATAATCGGCCGATTAATCGGCCAAAGCCGATTATTTCCATTAACACATTTACCAGTAGGCGTTAGTTGCCCTGATGAACCTCAAATGCTTTTAAACATTAAAATGAAACTTGAGAAGCTAATGTAGCAAAGCACTTTTCCTTCCTTCTACAGCTGGATACAAATTGAAAAGTTTTCATGACATTCTCTTTTATCTCATGTAATGGTCTTCCGTGCGCACACAATGTTTTCCGGTCATGGGGGTTACATGTACAAGTGTTAATTTTCGTACTTAATAATTGCATTTGCCATGAAGAGGCGAGATAAATGCAAGATCTTATTTGTACGTATTTGTGTAGCAGCTGCATGCCACTCTATAACGTGAAAAATTGTCAATGAAAAATTGTCAGTGAAAAATTGGCAAAAAACACAATGAATACACAGATTTTCATTTATTTCTAGTAGAAAATAAAGAAACTGGTCAATAATCGGCAAATGGCCGATTATACTGTACAGAAATAATCGGCCAATTACCGATTATTAAAAATTGGCCGATTAATCGGCTTGGCAGATTAATCGGCTCATCCCTAATGCAAAGATTTCCTGTTAGTATCTACCCAGAGCACAAGAGGGATTCCCTAATGGACCTATTCCCTAATGAACAAAATTTTGATCTAGACAAGTCTAGACAAACATTTCACCACAGCTTGAAAGAGCATCACAAAATTAGTAATATTCCAAAGTTTCGTTGCGAAATGACTTGTAAAATGGAGATAATATAGCACTGCAAAGTTTGCCGTTTTTCAGTCATTTTGTATTATGCACGGGAAATTGATACCGCTTTCTGAAAAAGTTATCAATTTCCCATGCGTAATACAAAATGACTGAAAAACGGCAAACTTCTCGGTGCTATATTATCCGCATTTTACAACGTTTCGGAATATTACTAATTTTGTGATGCTCTTTCAAGCTGTGACGAATTGTTTGTCTAGACTTGTCTAGATCAAAAGTTTGTTCATTAGGGAATAGGTCCATTGTATATTCCTTTATCGATTTTCTTATTTTCATTTATTTCATACCTCCCACATGGAGGAAATTGGAAGTTAATCCCCTACCTCATTTAGACGACACCCTCCGGGGCCCCACCCCATCCGGAAGGCAGACACTTCCTCCATGGGGCACTGTAGAACTTTTCTGCATTGACCCATTATGATACAATGATAAGATCATGGCAAGTTCTTGCTGGATTTTTTGCAAGATCCTGGCAATGTGAAAAATTATTTTCAGTGTAAAGTATATATGTTTCAACTTGTCCTTTATATATAATGACTAATATAATTTTGTTCATGTATTATAGGTCTTACATACTATCAGAGATACTCCACCAAATACTCTAGGTAAATATGCATGATTTGAGTGTGTCCACACCAGGCAAGCCAAAAAGTTTGGTTGACGCAGTGGGAATCGAATCCGTAGGGCGAAAATATTTGTATCTATCTGGGAACCAACTAAAAATATGGCATTTTCTGGGAGTGTCAGTATATTAGTCATTAAGCCAATTAAATTTTTAGCCACTTTTAGTTGGGGAGCCTAAATGTGTTTGGGCCCCTCCACTTTTTAACATTATGGTCATTGGTCAATAATAAACCACAAAGTTAATTGATATTATTTCAGTTCCACATGTAGACAAAACCATTTGAGATATTTTATGACATTTTGTTACCTTTAGAACTCTGTAAATCTCCTTAGCCCCGTTTACACGACAGTCATTTTGGGTACGGCACGCTTAAATTTTGGCACGCGGACCCATGCTTTTTGGTCCGCCTGTTGCGTTTACACGACGAAATTTTTGTTCTAAAACTTTTGGGTTCGGCACGCTTAAACTGGGAACGGCACTCTTACATTCAGGGTCAAAACCTTGACCTGACATGAAATATCTGATCTATTCAGCCATAACTTTTTGGTGTAGCAAAAAGTGTATTAAACTTTATTCCGAGCATTAAATTAACATTTCATTTTTACCAATTCTCTCAGCTTTCCGGAGTAAAATAAGCAGAAAATATATTTTTATTGAGTAGTTTAAGTTTTCGAAAATTTGGATTGAAGTATTTCCAGACAGTTATTGACATTTTCGTAAAAAATACAAAGTTTGTGTATTTCCATGCATGCATGTATTTTTTCAACTGTAAGCTTATAAACTCATATAAACCTAGCGAAATCTGTACTTGTCGGTGCTTGAAAAACTATTATATGAAAGTGTTTTAATTTTCTAAGCTATGGATCATGATATTTCATTTGACATTGACCTTCATGTCGATAAACAACTTTGTAATAAAGCAATAAATTCATATTATAAAAATATAGGATGCCATTTTGAAAGCGTGCACAGTGCGAACAAGAAACACTGCGTCTTTTAATTGGCAACACTATAACATTCAGTAACCTCGTATAAACTGGCTGACAAGCAGCGACAACAGTTTCATTTCAGAATATTTCGTTGAAAATTAATTTATACTAACAACAATGATTCGGCTGCAGGCTCACTACATGATTATGGTGTGGTGGATGTTGACAGATAGCACTTCGTCCTCGGCAAATGATTGTTAATTGTTAATTATGAAATAACAATAATCTTCACCATCACATATATCAGCATTACTTAAACTGCTTAAATACAGTTCTCTTTCTCTCAGTCGCTTTGCTGTGAGCTTTAACTTGAGTGTAGCAAGAATACCAGTTGAATATATAGCTTCTTTATGCATGACCATAATATATATCGGAGCTCTTGTATATAGCTTCGTCTGACCATGCACATTTTCCATCGATATCTGTTTGTATATAGACACAATATTTTTGCAATGTGAGAAACAAAACGCGTGCGTAACAAGTTTTTGGTCCGCGGACCCATTTTTAAGCGGGCCGAGACTACCTCCTGAGGAGGTCTCGGCCCGCTTAAAATTTTGGGCCCGCGGACCCTTAATTTTGCGTTTACACGACAAATATTAAGAGTGCCGTGCCCAAAAAAATGGGTCCGCGTGCCAAAATTTAAGCGTGCCGTGCCCAAAATGACTGTCGTGTAAACGGGACTAGAGACTCTAGTTTCAAACTTTTTCCGGGGGGCATGCCCCCGGACCCCCTAGGACATCACGCGCCTTCGGTAGGCACTAAGTGTGCCCCCCACTTTTACAGCCGTTCCGACACCCCTGCATACAGCACAACCATGCCACCGATTTGTATGATATTTTCTCCGAAGAAATTGGCTAGTAAATAAATATGTGCAATAAAAGTTTGTTTTTCGTTGTATTTAGGCCTATGTGCATTATCACCGAATTCAGATAATTGTTTTCTGGCATACCCTGGCAGTAATCAGGTTTGTTCAAATTGTATTAAATCCACCATTTTGTTTAATATGTAATTGTTTCACAGTACATGGCTGGAGATTATTCCCGTGATTCTTGTAATTGTTAATTAACACCTTGTCCACCATACGTACCCGTTCGGTTTGTTAGGTGTCAGCTCAGCTGACCATGGGGGGTGACCTGGACTGACTACTGTTACTTGGACTCAGATTAAGATCCATGACAATGGCATTTTGAGCTGCCACCGTGACCCCCCACCGTACTAACACACACCAATTAAAATTGGTGGAAATAAATTTTTAAACTGGATTGCCAGTGGAAAGTCGTTGAGCTAAGTGTGCAAAAAAAAATTCAAAACGCATGTTGTCGTTTGGACGTCAGACTTCGAATGATAGATTTCACCTAATCCCATTGTGCCCCCCCCCCGGCATGTGATGTGCTAACATCAGGATACTTGGTTACCAAGTTGCTAACCTTGGTTATTGCATAACCTCATTAAATTTCAGATTGGAGAAGTTCAAATATTTGATGCTGTTAATTTGGTAAGTCTGGTGCAATGATTGGTAATCCTGACACAACAGATAGCTTTGTACTGTATCGATTGTTAATGAGACAAATTTGATCATATTGAGTGCATTCAAATCTGATCACTTTCACGTGCTCTATTTTATTCCAGAGGGCAGTGACAATGATCTCAGCTCATGATTCTCCTGTTGCAGCTTTAACATTTAACACTTCAGGCACTAAACTGGCCAGTGCCTCAGAGAAGGTAGGTTGACCCATGATTGAGTGCCAGCACTTTCTCCTTGACGAGTAAAATCGTCTGGTACTCAATGGACCTATTCCCTAATGAACAAAATTTTGATCTAGACAAGTCTAGACAAATATTTCATCACAGTTTGAAAGAGCATCACAAAATTAGTAATATTCCGAAGTTTCGTTGCGAAATGTTGTAAAATGCAGATAATATAGCCCTGCGAAGTTTGCCGTTTTTCAGTCATTTTGTATTACGCACGGGAAATTGATACCTTTTTTCAGAAAGCGGTATCCACTTCCCGTGCGTAATACAAAATGACTGGAAAATGGCAAACTTCGCAGGGCTATATTATCCGCATTTTACAACATTTCGCAACGAAACATCGGAATATTACTAATTTTGTGATGCTCTTTCAAGCTGTGATGAAATTGTTGTCTAGATCAAAATTTTGTTCATTAGGGAATAGGTCCTGGGCATTGGCTAATCAAACCTTCTGCCCATGTATCCTGTCAAACATCTGCCCATGTATCCTGTTAACCCTTTAAGTGACAATATACCCTAATATGCCCTACTTTATTATGCTACTCTGTCTAATCACAGACAATTTTGCTCATCAAGGGGAGAGCACGGGTACTCAGGGCTTTCAGAATTATTCTGAGTAGGTGTCTGTTTTGATAAAGTAGGCGGCTGTTGGGAGGGAGTGGTCTATAGGGAGTCTTAAAGTCATCTTTATTAACTATTGTATATTGATTAGATATAGCAACAGCATTGATTAGATATAGCAACACAACTGTAACCAAATTATAATGTATCACTACTTCCATTCTTCAACAAAATAACTTCAAGATTTAAGATGGCGAATAACTAAATCGGTTTAACGGAATAGTACGTCATTTTCGAAAATAACCAGGCTATAAAGTAGAGCAGGTTGATGAAAAGTAACTTAGTTTGTTTGAAAGCTTAGAATGGAGGAAGGAGAGCAGAATTGATGTTTCGAATACTAAACAAAGTAACCAACGGTAAACCTTGTGCCACCCGCCGAGCTCCGGCGGCCGCCGGGTTATTTTGAAAGCTCTGGTACTCATTGTGTTAACTTTTGTGTTATTGCTGTTATAGGGAACGATAATTAGAGTATTTTCAATTCCGGATGGTCAAAAGCTGTTTGAATTCCGTAGAGGAGTTAAGAGGTACATACTGTACAACATAATTATATTAATTATGCAAATCTCAGTCTTATCTTGTTACTTCATGGAATATCTAAGAGAGTTGTGTGGTTTATTTTAGATGTGTCGTAATCAGTTCATTAGCATTCAGCATGGACTCAATGTTTTTGTGTGCGTCCAGTAATACCGAAACAGTTCATGTATTTAAACTGGAAATGCCAAAAGACAAGTAAGTTCCCATACAGAATAGTATCTCAGTAATCTTTGGGAAGCCTCGCAGTGCCTCGGAAGGTCGTCTCCAATTGGATGGGAATTTTCTAAAGAACGAAGCAATTCATTGTTATCAACACAAAAGCAATTGTCAAATCGAGCCAATGAAAATCACTCTTCCGAGCTACTGCGAGGCTACCCTAATGTTTAACTGATAATTAAGAATTCAAGAGTGATATTATTGTTACTTTTTTAACATTTCAGGCCAGTCGAGGAACCAAGTGGTTGGATGGGATATTTTGGCAAGGCCTTATCTCCCAGCAACTACCTACCTTCCCAGGTAATACCGTATGTCTTAACAATTCATTTTGTTAGTAAGGCCAAAAAATACCTGGGTTTCCTATTTCTTGTTGCAAGAAATGTTACGAGTTTTCTTTTTGTTAATATTTTTATAAATGCTGATGCATGAGAATGGCATTCTATGTCAATTACGGCAGCACAGATGGCACGAACATTCGTTAAATGTTATATCAAATTTGAAACAAACAGGCTATATACACTGTACTTTATATGCAGTAACTAATTACAAAACCAACGCCACGGACTGGGTACGAAAAATTGGCCCAAGCTTTTTGCAAATTTCGGTGACCAACAGCTAGGTAGGGTCGTGAAACCGGAAACCCACGTATTTTTGTCCAAATATTTTGCATTTGTCTTCGAAGTTGTAATGAGTAGGCGGATTCAGTATAATTAGGCATATTTCATAATTCAGTGTAAGGAATATTTATAAAACACGTCTGAACAGACATTGAAGCATGGTTCAGTCTAGTACTGGCAGGGCCGCCGAGAGAATTCGCGGGGCCCAGGGCAAATCTCTGGGGGGCCCACGACATCGTTATTTTTAAGCTAGACCCAAGTCAGTCACCCAACTAGACCTTAGCTAGACTGCATGTGGAGCTACTGCAAGGGGCCCTCAATTTCAAAAATGCTCTGGCCAATTTAAAGAACCTACTCAATTTTAGGCTCTCGCTCTCATTCAAATCTTCAGAAATGTATTGCCTTTAATCTATATAGATGCAGGTTTATTAGCATAGCATGACCAGTTGCCCTGACTAGCTTCGCAACTGCAGTGTATAGTAACTCTAATAGACAACTTATGCATGCATGCATTGCAATGCGTAGCGGTACTCAGGGCCGCCGAGAGGGGGGGGGGGCAAATTGCCCCACGTCCCCGCCTTAATAGGACCCCAACGTATAATGCAAATCATTAAAAACTTGCATAGCATGACCTGTTGCTCTGGCTAGCTTCGCCACTGCTGTACAGTGTATTATTTTCCGAAGCAGTACTTGGGTAACCGTATTTGATTTCCAATCATTTTAGGTAGCAGAGGTATTCAGTCAAGGTCGGGCATTCGCGAATGTCAAGTTACCTGCGGCAGGATTGAAGAATGTTTGTGGAATAGCAACGTGAGTACGGAGATAACTCATTGCAAAGATCAGTTGGAAAGAGAACACATAAAGTAGATTGATAGAGAGGCAAAATTTGATTTTCTATAAAATACCGTATTTCCTATATTTAGTAGTAGTGGCAGCAGCTGTAACAGTAGCAGTAGTATACTGCAGCAGTAAGTAGCAACAGCAGCATCAATAGTAGCAGCAACAGTAACAGCACCAACAGCAGCAATAACAGTAGCAGTATTGTAGTAGCAGCAGCAGCAGTAGTTGTAGCAGCAACAGTAACAACACCAACAGCAGCAGTAACAGTAGCAGCAGTAAGGCAATCAACCTCGTTCCCAGGCTCTTCCCTCTTTTTGATTCCTCAAAAAGAGGAAAGAGCCTGGGAACGAGGTTGTAAGCCAGTAACAGTACCAACAGCAACAGCAGCGATAACAGTAGCAGCAGTAGTAGTAGCAACAGCATTATGTAGCAGCAACAGTATCAACAGCAGCAGTAACAGTACGTATGTAGCAGCAGCAATAGTAGCAACAGTGACAGAAACAGCAGTAACAACAGCATTGACAGTAACACCTCGTTCAAAATACGTACGTGCATTCAAAGTCGGACTTTCAGTGATCAGCAATTCAGAGATAACATATTGAATGCATACTAACTTGGAGTATGTCTTATGTTTTAGTATAAGTAGACTACCTCGTTTATTGGTAGCAACAGCTGATGCATATTTATACATTTATAATATTGACCCCGAGGAAGGAGGCGACTGCACACTGCTTAAACAACACAGGTATGTATATGTTTCATTCTCTCTTTTCCAATACCTAACTCATTGTATTTGTACTGGGTAGCTCTAGCTCAGGTTCTAAACCTATCAGTTCTAATTTGCGCGCCTCAAATTTCTATTAAGGGTCATCGCCTTTTGATCCAGTGTTACTATAGGAAGAAACCGAAGCTAAAATAACTCGGCTCTTACAGTAACTGTTCTTTCTTGAGGTGCATCAACTATTTCGCTGACCTCAGAATGACATTTTGTCAAAACGTTTTTCTTCAGAATTGGTTTAGAAACAAATTTGGAGTAGGGTTAGGGTAGGGTTAGGGTAAGGATTAGAGTTGGTGTTAGGAGTAGGGTAAGTGTTAGTGTTAGTAAAACCGTTGCTTTGTTACGTTTTGTCACTGTGAGGCCAGCGAAATAATCTCTTCCTATTACTGCATGCACCTCACTCTTTTATGTTCGTATGGAAGAAAACATGAAATCCTACGTTCCTATAACCTGAAGTTCAGGCCCTATCACAGAATAGGGCCTGACACAAAACCTATCTAAAGTGTGGGATTCGGACGGGAAATCTGATTGGTTGATCAGCATCATGAAGGATTTTGATTGGTTGCAAGTTCACATAAACAACAGTTTTAAAAATAGCTCGGTCAAGGCGAGAATTAATATAAAGGTCAAACGCACGAAACAAATTCCATTATCGATTTCTTCGAATTTCTTTTTTTTTATGCTTTATGGCAGAAAATAAATCAAACAAACAGTATTTTGAAAGGGCTTCATCAAAATCTTTGACGAATTTGGACACACACAACGCTGAAAGAACAGCCAAACTAGTCATGTATTCGAAAGCTTGTTGTTGACAGCCAAGATGACAGATGTTCTGCCAACTTGCTTCGCCGGCAAAAGTCTTATTTTTAATATCAGGTCCTACCGGCGTAATTGTTGTCTGAGCTACATCGCCTTCTTCGTGGTATGATTGAGAATTTAATTGTTGCTGTTATTAGCCCGTTAGTCGTTAGAGTATATCCGCGTCCAGCAAGTTGAGACCTTGAGAAAGCTTGGCAGTCAAGCCGTGCACAGAACTGACTAATTAAATCTTTGTTTGCTGTTCGCCTGTTCGGTTAAATAGAGAAACAGACTCTTAATTATATAAAAGTACCTTGAACTTTTAAGTTTAATTAAAAAGCAAAATGCTCTGCGGACATGTTCATGAGAATATAAATTTTTTGTGTAACGAAATCTACAACACTTGTCAATCATATTGCATGTGTGTTTAAAAATAACATGTGGGCGTCCCACGGTCTAGACAGGTTTTGTGTCAGGCCCTATTTCAAATTAGGGCCTGAACTTCAGGTTAACGTTCCTACAGAAGGAATACAAACATCTCACATTCTTAACATTTATGAACTTTATTTGTCTTTTAGAATTTTGGATGCAACTGAATCACAAAGTCAAACTGAAGTAAGGAAGCTACGTTTTGAAGTATTTTTACCGAATTTAGCATCAATTAGTGCATGAGCTGTCCTCCATTTTGGATTATTATCGACATGCATGTATACCTCTTGTATACGCCAACAACCCACTCTCCTCCGCAGAGGCTTTGTGTTTTGTTTTGGGTTTTTTCAAAGTTTGCAGGCGGGATAGTCGCAGGCTAGGGGAAACGGCGCTCCCACGCTCCGCCTCTCCCCTTTCATCCCTATTTATCCCCTATAATTTCCCCCTAGCCTGCCTAGTCCGCGACTATCCCACCTGCAAACTTTGAAAAAACCCAAAACAAAACACAAAGCCTCTGCGGAGGAGAATGTCAACAACCAATGATTGATAAGGCTGATTTACACAACACAACTTTTACCTAAAACTGTCGCATGCAACCTGCTTACGACTGCAAATCAAGCAGGCGGAGGCGCGTTTAAATTTCGGGGGGGGGGAGGGTGCAAGCTTCGCACCCTCCTTTCCCAGGCGTGGGAAAACTTTCTGGGGGTGCACACCCCCCTTCCCAGAAAATCCGTCAATGAAAAATTTCAATAAGACAAACTGTTTAGTGCTGGTGATATCCCACTAACTTATATCTTTCACCTTTGCAGAGCAAAACAGAAAGTGAAGCAACAGGCGAAACTGAGCAACCAAAGAAAGACGAGGAATCAGCGCCGCGAGGACTGCTGGGAACGCAATCATCAACACCACCAACACAGGACAACCAAGAGACTGGATCTAACCAATCACAAGCATCGCCTAACACCACGTGGTACACGGACGAACCAATGAACACAAAGCTTGACGATGAAGCGGAATTCCCGCCTCTGACGTTACCCAGCGACTGATAAGGTTTGAAAATAGTAAACATGTATAGTAGAACAGTCCAACTGCACATCTGCTTCGCTTGGCCATTGCTCAATTGCTTTAAAATGTGTTGGGCAAAGGTAGGAGAAAGCAGGAGATTATGGGTTATATGACGGGGGTTGTATTTTTTTGGGCATAAAATTGAAGAGATTTAATTATAAATACTATTTTAAGCGTGTTTCGAGAGTATGCGTTTTGTGACATTTTTATGGCGAAGTCTGAATCGATTGCGCGTGATTGCGCATGTGTTAAAACGGACCAATGCAATCGCCGATGTGGTCGCTGTGCATTTAGGAACAAACGAAACTATAAATTTGTTCTGATTATCTTAGACTAAATTTAATTATACTGGATAGCTGTATCGGTTTCCACAGTAAAAGTCTGGTACGGCTCATCTCTTAACAGTTCAGTGCTTGTGCAGGAAACCTAAACTAACTTTATTTATGCTAGATAGCTCTATCAGTTCTAAACTGTTCTCCCAAGAGGTCCACCGTTGCTCACATAACATCACCAACACTACACTAAGTATTTCAAAATACTTTATACACAAATGCTTAGTAACCTTAGTAAATAGATCAATAGATGTCGTCAACACAACGTCGTCCGCAACACAAGCTGATTTCTACGAAGGGCGTGTACAACATAGACAGATTTTCAAATTTTGCGGGGGGGGGGAGGGCGAAGGGGTGCGTAGCGTCGCGGGGGAAGCTGCAGCTGGGGTCACAGGAAATTTTTGGTCTCATTTAGTTTAGTTCAAAATCCTTTTTGTCAATCACACTACTGTCAATAGATAGCTTAAGATCTACGACGTCGACGTCAGGGCTATGCAGAGGACTGGGACTAGGATATCGTCCTAATGTAGTCCCAGTCCTCTGCTTAGCCCTGACGTCCTAGCTAACGTCGACGTCGTAGATCTTAAGCTATCTATTGAACCCAACGAACATTTAAATTTCTGGGGGGTGCACATTTCTCTCCAGGTGGGGTGGGAAAACTTCCTGAGGGGGTGAAAAATATTTGGGGGTGCACCCCTCCCCCCTACATACATCCACAGAGAATCGGTCTACAATAATACAAATAAATTTAATTAAAGTAACAGATTTCCTCTATTTAGCTGTTTTTAGCCCGCCCCATCCCCCTTTCTAATAAACCCTCAGTCCAACATTGAAAAAAAACAAGCCCCCACCCTTTACTTTATCCCCATCTTCTATTAATTAAGTCATTCTCTATCTTAACTAAGAGTGAAATATGAACACAAACGTTCTCGATAGCGTTCACTGATAATGCTGTGTATATAATGTTCACTGATGAAAAAAAGAACAATAATAATATAAAAGAGAAAATATATGGGTTAACTGCCAGACGATATGAATCTTTATACAAACTATATTATCCGCTATTTACATGATGCAGTACTGCAGCGCGTTACAAATGATGATTTTACTTTACAAAAATAATTATGCATTATTATTCTCGCTTATTTCTTTGGCCATATTGGAAATTGCTTTATGTGTGATAATACAGAGGTTCAGATTTGACTTCCGGTATCAATCAACCAATCAGATGCATTTATCGTACCCGATTAACCAATCAAATGCGTATCAAGCCTGTGAAGGCGGTTTTCCACTAGGCGAAATTTTTCGACCGAATCGAAATTTTCTTTTGTCTTACAAGCACTCAGATGGAACTAATCAGAAATCTTTTGAATTTGAACAATAGAAATTTCGGTTCGATCGAAAAATTTCGCCTAATGGAAAATCGCCTTGAGAGATAGGGGAAGTGGAAGTTAAATCTGAACCTCTCTATTGCCACAGAATAGCAGAATAGGAACCTTACAGAAGGTCGACTCGGGCAAAAAAGCGTAACCGATGCCACGCCACAGAATAGGAACCTTACAGAAGGTCGACTTCTTGGTTTTGCCTATGATTTCGGCGTAACCGTTCCAATGCTGTCGCCATGGTACTATAGCCAGTGCGCTTATCAGAGGCATTCACACCCCTGGAAATATTCAAAGTGGCGGACGCTCAGGGGGGTGAATGCCTCTCGGTCTTCTGTAACGTTCCTGTACCACAATGTGCTATTGCGTTGCAAGCGCAGGACAAGCTGTCTCGTTTCATTTGCATGATCTTTTTGTAAAACTACTGCTCAGCTTCCATGGCACGACTGTTTATTTTCTTCATCAAATATAACTTGTCCTTACCAGTCTAAATACAAATACGAGAGTAACTTAGTTTATAAATAATTGAAACTGCTGAGAATAAAATTTTCTAATCTATTGCAAATAGCCAAAAATATATTATTACTGTAATATTTACAAAAACTTACCAATATGATTTGTTGTCGTAGCAGTTTCATTTTCTGCTCATTGGAAGACTTGAGAAGTTTGTAATAATAGATGAACACACTAGATAAATATGGCACAATGCATACAATGGTTAGTCTATATACCTAATGCAAGTAATGTAGTTTCCACCAGTTCAGAACTGCACCACTGAATATATTCAGTCAACTCTCATGCAACTCTTGTTCTTGTTTGACCGGGCCATGAGAGATGAGAAAACGTTCATGCAAACTCTCACTTCTCAACTCTCATCAATTTTCGTCCTCATTTGAACATGACTTTAAAACGCATTAATAATTCATGAGCTATGGTGTACATATTTGACTATTGAGCCCCATACAGACGGGCAATTTCTCTTTGACAAGTTTTATTATGCTTTTACGGCAAAAAGTCGCAATTTTTCCTTGCCAAGAATTCTTGCCTTGTTCCTAGGGTTGGGCGATATTTCGATGCCGTCTGACAAAATGTCCGGTGACATGAG